CCTAAAATGCACAGTGAAATGTCAAATTGACAGGGGGAAAGCTCACAAAACAAAACGAAAAAGAATCTGCAATCAAATAATATCATAATCTTCATAATTAATATTAATAAATAAAGAATAAATAACAATTACGCATAAATCAACATATACATGTAAAGGGAATTCATATAGTCCTACCTCAACAAAGATGATCAAACCAAAACCTCTTCTGTGAAATACTGAGGCAGATACTAACTACAGCATCTCGAGAAAACTCCTCTCCCTCCCCCCAAAACAATCCCGAACAGACAACAGGTCAAGGCATTTGTGGCTATACTAAAGAAAACTCTTTTTTTTTAAGCAATTTGATTTGTTCACATACAAAAAGGTAAAGCCAGACTCCAGCAGTTCACAAGCCATAATAAAGCTAATCGTGTGGGAAGTTCAATTTACAGCCTGTGAAATATAAAGGCATTTATTCCTCAAGATTCACCCAAAACAACCCGTACGCTACAGACATTGAGAACAGAGATTGGTAGGCAGAGCAAACCGCATTTTCTAGACCATGAACACAGCGAATACTAGCAAGAAAAACAGCTTCGCCCCTCAAGGGGAGGCTTCCAACCACGAGACAAACGCATACAGCTTTTTTTTCTCCCCTGTACAAGAAAGAGACGGACTCCTGTTGCTCCATGGGTGGGGGTACACAACGTAAAGGGGGTAGGGTCCAAAAGGAGTCACAGCGAGAGGACCAGGGTTACCATCACGCTACACCGAGAGAAGCGAAGAGGACACTTTTACCCCGGGATAGGGGTGGGGGGCACCCCAGCGCAGACATGGGGGCGCGCTCTCTTTGTGGGTCTCCAAGTGAAGGCACAGTTCTGGGGGCCGGGACCGAGGGCGCACTCTAGCAGGCTGGACGCACGGGCACCTGAAGGAGGATCACCTGTCTATTCTCAGACGGGTGGCACTTGTTGATGTGCCGCGTAAGACCCGGGGAGCTGTAGAAGGTGGCCGGGCAGTACTTGCAGGGGAACACCTGGGCAGCGTGCAGCAGACGCAGGTGGCGCTCCTGGGCGCCCTTGCTGGGGAAGGTCTCCCCGCACACTGGGCACAGGTGGCACTCGGCGGCAGCACTCAGGCCCAGTACGCCGGCCGCCTCGCCGTCGCCCGCGGCCTCCTGGGGCGCCTTTTCATCGGGCCCCGCGTAGAAAGCCAGTATGTCCTCGGCCGGAGGCGGTGGCGGCGGCGGCGGCGGCGCGCCTTCGGCCTGCAGCGCCTGATGATGTGCCAGCAGGTGCTTGCGCAGATAGGCCTGGCGACGGAACTTCTTGGCGCAGTGGTGGCACTCGTAGAGCCCGTCCTCGGAGCCTGACTCGGATACGCCGCCGGGGCTCGGTGTGTCCCGATCGCTGCCGCCGCCAACAGCCTCGCGCGCCTCGGCCCTAGTGGCGGCTTCGGGCTCAGGCGCACGGGCCGCGGCAGGTGCGGGCCGTGGTTTGTGCCAGCGGCGGTGCGAGGCCAGGTTGGCCGGGCAGCTGAAGACCTTGGCGCACTCTGGGCAGCGGTACTCCACGCGCACTATGCGCGAGCACTTGTGCTGCGCCAGCGCGAATGGGTCGGCGTACTCCTCCTTGCACAGCTGGCAGATGAACTCGCCCAGCGGCCGGGTTGCGCCCCCCGCGCGGCCCCGCGGCGCCTCCACCGGGCCTTCCTTGATCTTGAGCCCCAGTACCGGCGACGTGGTCACCTCGTCCTCGAAGTGCAGCTTGCGGATGGCCTTGGGCTTTTTGGCGCTGGGGGCCTTGGCTGCCTTGGCGGGTGGCTCTGCAGCGAGAGTGGCGGGGGGCGCGGGCCGCTTGCCTGGGGGCCGCAGGGCAGCAGCGGAGGACAGCGGGGGACCAGGCCCGGGACCCCGGGCCGCCTCAGCACCGGCGGAGAACGCGGTGCCCATCTTGAGCTCGGCAGGCGCGAAGAGTAGCGCGTCTCCGCCGCAGGTGCCGCCGCCGCCAACGCCGTTGGCGCCGCCACTTCCCCCTGCGAGCAGCGCGGCGGGCGTAGGGAAGGACTCGGCTGACACCGGCGAGCCGAGGTTGAAGCTGCGCTCGAAGTACTTGTGCTTCTCATGCTCGCGGCTCACCGGCCGCGTGGGGCTGTAGAGAGGTGCGGGATGAGCAGCCTCTGGGTTGCCAAAGTGCGCGGCCCGCGGACCCGTAGGGGGTGGCGGCGGACCTGGCGCGCAGGCAAGCGCGGCGGCGAGCGCTGCATGGGCGCGCTCCGCGAGCGCCGGCGGCGGAGGTGGCGGCAGTGGCCCGGGGCTTGGCACTGGGGGCTCGGAGCGGGCGCCCCCGCAGCCGGGTGACAGCAGCAGCGCGCGGTCACCGTCCTCGCCGCCCCGGACTCGGTAGGACACGGGCGTGGACTTCTTGCTGCGCTTCACCAGGAACCCGCGGGGCATTTTGGCGTGGTGCAAGGGCAACGCACTGGCTGAGTCCCACCTCTGTGCTCCGCCCGCCCTGGAGGCTCTCAGTGCCCCTAGCTCATCGCCTGCACGCGTTGCGGCTGCTTCGGGACTAGCGTAGCACCGGCAGCGGCTGGCCCGGCTCTGAGCCCTGCACGCGCGTCCCTGTCCCCGGGCCCAGGCGCCGCTCCCTTTTAACGGGGGGAGGGGGCCATTGTTCTCGCCTCCCGCTTCCCCCGGAGCCAATCAGCGCGTCCGCAGCTCCTCCGCCGGGGAGGGTGGGAGGGCGACGGAGCGGCAAAAAAGGGGCCGGGACTCGAGGGTCGCCCGGTAGGTGCGGCAGATGTACCTGAGGGCGCGGGGCCCCAGCGCGCACCCCTCGGCCGCCCCGCCCCGCCGCGCCCGGCGCCGCCGCCCCGCCTGGCCCAGGCACACGCCCGGCCCCGCCTCCCTTCACGGTCTGCTGCTCCTCTATGGGGAGGCGCACGTGCCTGGGCTTTGTGTATCTCCTCCGGGGGGCGCGGAGCCGCCAAATGGGCCCGTCCATCAGCACGACAATGTGTGCCCCCCTCCCGCGCGGGGATTACCCGCGGGTCGCGAGCTAAATAGCAACAAAGGAGAAGAATGGCCCCAAATATGTCAGGAGGGTTCAATCCGCGAGCCGGAGCCCAAGGGGAAATTGGGCGCGCTGTTGGGGTGGGGGCGGGGACGACCAGAGGGCTGCGGCTGCGGCGGGAGAAGGTCGCGGGAGCCCCGCACGCTGTTCAGGAAATCAGCGGGAAGGTTAAAGCGCTGCAGAGTCGGGATAGCTAGCGGCTGGCGGGAGCCGTGGCCGCGGGACCCCAGGGTTCCGAGTGTAAACAGGTCGGGCCTGCGGGCTTCGGCCGAGCGCGGTGTCTGTGCGCGCAGGCTCTGACTGCTGATGAGCCTCGAAAAGCTTTTCTCGAGTTGGAGAAACTGTTGGCATAGCACGTTTTCGATCGTTCGCGGATGCGAGGCTGCAGCCCTGACTGGCTGGCTGACTTCCAAATGGAACTTGAATGTCTGAACTTACTTTCCTTTCCCTGAGGTCCTGAGCCCGGGGGATTGGCGTCCTTGCCAAGGTCAGACCTAGGTTTCAGGAACCTCCTGTCCGGCCGGGACGTTGGCAATGCCTGTGGAGCTGACCCAAGCAGGCCACGCGCGGTGAAGTTGGTTTCCACCCTATGCTAAGCCTCATGCATTTTCTTTCGGAGCGGGCATTTTGTCTGCGGGTTGACATCAGATGCTAAATCAAGGGCTCCAATCAAGGCGCTGCGGAATAAAGCAACCGCCTGTCTGGGCACCCCCCCCCCCCCCAGCCGTGCCCCCTTCACCTTTGTGAAGGAAATTAACCTCCCGCTATTGAGCGCAGGTCGCGGCCAATCTGGACGCAAAAGAGACGCGTGCTGCCGGGGGATGGGGGGAAGGGGGGCCAATCTGTCCTCCGAGGGAGGCTGCAGCCTGAGAGGACCAGCCGCTTCCCTCATGCCACCGGGAAGAGACTAGAGCGAAGGACACCCCCGGTACACACACTCCACACCCTACACCCGGTTTGGACCTAGACCGGGCAACTTGTCTAGGACCCTCCTCCGGGCCCAGGGCCGAGGAAACACAAAAGATTGCATTTCTCGGGGAAAGAAATAGGTCCCTACGAAGGCACATTAGCCAGGACTGTCCTTCACCAGGGAACAAATAGCTGAGACTCATCAAATGTCATAGCTGTGGGGAAAATGTCACTTTACTGAAAGTGAAGGAAACATTTTTTTTCCCCTCGCAATGCTCTCCGAGACTAGATTTTGCTGAGTTTCAGTCACGCCTAATTCCACTGAAGGCATTTAATTGTTTTGGGGTTTCCCTCTGAAAATACCCTGGCTTGGAAATTAAATACAGTTTTTCAATAGAATCCACTCGAGTAATAAACTGTAATGGGGAGAGTTATTAAGGTGAGTTAACTAAGGGGGGAGGAATCTTACGAGTTTATGTCTGTGATTTTTTTTAACTCATTAACTGAAAAATACATGACAGGAATGCTCCGATGGTTGCTAGTCCTTAAAAAGTTAGATATCCTAAAATGGATTTACAATTCCTGAATGTTTCGATCTGAAAATAACTGGTGTTATTTCCTTGATCTTCTGAGCGCTGATTAATACGGCTGATGAAATTAGAGGAGGGAGAGGGGGATTCCGGGACAGGGCTGACCAATTTTATTTTCTAATCACGAATCCCATCTGGGTTGTAGAATAATAGGGCAGGGCTCGACGGTCTCCCCCCAACAGGATATTGAGTCTTGCGTATGTAACACTCTTTTTATTCAAAACACTACCGGAAGAGTTAGTTGTCTAGTGAATTCTTAAACAAACAAAAAAAACCCACTAATAATTGTAAAGAAGGTGTGTGTTGGGTGGGAGGGGGATGCATATGACCAACAACTGGAGAAAAAAAAAATCTTTGCTTGAGGGAATTCAAACAGGGCTCTTGATTTAGTCAGGGAAATCTATGCAGATTTTCAATGGATGTTTTTCACGCCGGTACAGTTAAATGGAAACTTGGAAAGTGAGGCTGCGCGCTCAGACACCTGCACGCTTCAACCACCCTTCAGCAGGTGCAGTCCAGCAGTGGTGGTGAGTCTCCACCGGAGTCTGCGGAATTTTCTCAGAACTTGCTGCCTGCAGGGAACAAGCGATGTGTTTTACTCCTGGAAAGAGCAAAGCGCGCCCGCGGCCTGCTTCTCTACACTGAGATCCAGAATAATGGACGCAGGGAGCAGGGGTGGGGAAACCTTGAGCTACTTTTCCTTCTTTGTAAGGGGGGGGGAGTACTTAACGGAGTTGGTGGGAGGCAGATCACTGAAGTGTCCCTCTGGGACACCAAAACGAGGACTCCTTTCTGGCAGGGACAGCTTGGGAAAACCTCCCAGGCCTCTCCAGTGCGTGTCCATGCAGAATGGGGTGTGAGTACCAGTTTCCCAGGCGGCATAACTGGACGTTGGCTGTGTACCACCCTCTTCTATTTCTGTGTATGCGCTTGCCGTCGGGGGCAAGCGTTAGGACTCACTGTGACCCTCAGCTCTGCTCCGAAAGAAAGTTTACACGACTGGGAGTTTCTAGAAACTGAGTGTCTGGGTACTAAGTACAGTCTTCCGGAATTTAGCCGCGGGTCTGGAGTTGTACTAACAGCTTTGGCCACTCTGAAGGAGACCCACGGGTCAGGGGTCTCAGCCCTTCGTGGGCAGGGGCAGGGAGAGCTTCTGGAGACACAAGGTTGTGTGTGTGTGTGTGTGTGTGTGTCTGGGTGAGTGTCTCTGGTCCTCTCTGCCATTCTGCAGCAGCCGGCTCTCTTGATTTAACAGAAGCCCCCAGCTCCCTCCTACCCCCCCCTCCCCGGTTCCCACAAGCCACGACTGGAAGGCACCGAGCCCTATCGTCCCATGGCCACCGCCAGCTCCCGGAGGGGCCAGAGTCCAGAAGCTTTGTGTTTGCAGGAATGAAGGGTTGTCTTGTCAGTCCCAGGGGCACGCGAGAGACACGCGCAGGCGGGATGCCGCCGCCCCTCCCGGCCCAGTCCGGCCTCTGGGCACCTTCCGGGCCTCCCCGCCCTGTAGGCCGCTGCCTTTGTTCGGCACATTAGCATAAAGCTGCCACGGATCTCCCGTTTAAATAATTCCACACAAAAGGAGAGTGCATGAAAGAGATCGAACAAGGGTGAAGCCGCGAGGCCGCGCTGGGCGCTGGGCGCTGGGGGGACGCACTCGAGTGTCCCCTCCCCTCCAGAGCCCAGGGCCCCGTACAATCTGCCGCGCACCCATTATGAAGCCACCGCTTTCATACCACCACCCCACCCCACCCCTGTGCCGTCGGGCCACCGCACACATTTTGGAGTGCCCTCAGGGCTGTTTGTTTTTGCATTGGATAGGGACAGTAAGGGAGGACGTAGGGTGGTTGGACCCAGGGCTGGCAGCTAGAGGGATGGTGCTGGCCAAGCCAGAAAATGTGGGAATGTCTCCGCTAGAACCTTCGGGCGAGCAGAGCGCTGGACAGCGCTGACCAGGCCGGGTTGACAAAGAACCTGGGTGCAGAGGTAAAAATGAACCACAGAAGCGGAGTCAAACCCACCACAGAGGCCGGCGATGCCAGGGCCGACACCCCACATTTCACATCACCATCCTCTGGGAACCTGAGGGGCACTTTTGGCCTGGGCCTGTTTCTGCCCTTGAGTTCAGGCACGTTTCTCTTACAACTTATCCTCGGAGCTTGCTTTCTCCCACACCTCCTTTGACTGTTTTTCCCTCCCTCCCTCCTTCCTGTCATCCTTTCCCCCACCTCTCCACCCCACGCACCACCTCTCTTTAGGCCAGTCTTCCTGTCTTTTCCTCTCCACCTCTCTCCTGGTCTTCCTCCTCACTTCCAGTCGCCCCTCGACCTCAGACTTTCCCTCTCCCCATCTCTTCCTGCCCCCTCCCCCGCAGTGTTTCTTCGCAGATCTTGACAATCCCTTCCCCCTGCCTCATCACAGTCCTCCCTCCATCTCTGTCCTCCCTCAGTCCCCTCCTCCTTCTCTCCCTCTTCCACTCTTACCTTCTCTTTTTCCCTCCCTCAATCTTCCCCCACTCTTCTCATCCCCCCCCCCCACAACCTAGAGGCCAACGTGTGTTATTTTATTTGTCTAGAGAGAGCCTATTTGTTCAGTGATGTGTGGCCTCCTGGTCGCCTGCTTTAATGGGGGACGCGGAGGCTGGGTTTCTGTGAGCATTAGCATACAGCTGCCGGGCTCCCGCCCCGGCCCCGCGCTTACTTTCTGCCGGCCTTATCTTCACTTCTCTCAGCCAGAAAACAATCAACAGCTCCTCACACACGCGACTTTCCAGTCCGACCCTGTTAAGACTGGCTGGCCCAACTGCATTCTGTCCTTGTGTTCCTAAGTGTTTAATCTCTCTCTCTCTCTCTCTCTCTCTCTCTCTCTCTCTCTCTCAATATTGATTGGCTGATTTTTATCCTCCAGGCAGGTTTTCTTTCTCTTTCACACCATTTCTTATTTTTCTTTTGAGTTCCTGTGAAATTTGAACGCAGTAAAACCCACAAGAAGGTATTTATAGCAAGGTGGAGGGTACGCTGTTTTTCTAAAACCTGACATCTATGAGAACATTAGCAGTATTAGCAAAGCAGCATTTGAAAATTTAACTTTGGTGTTTTCTGGTTAAAACAATGCAATTCCAAGACAGACCCTCTGAGATGTTCCAGTGTAGTCTCTGAATTTTTATGGTGGCCTCTATTCTCCTGAAGCCCTTAAAAGAGACAGTTTCAAGCTATGACCAATGGCTGTGGGGGCTTCCTTTCTTAGGAAGCTTGTTCTCAATGACTGCACATATATGCCAAACGTTCCAGTATCAGAAACTTGCGTTCTTAAGAGTGGGACGAGGATTAAAATGTCAATGGACACCTATTGTAGGCTACAGGATGCTTCAGATGTGCTGCCTGTGTTGGGATGTCCACGACTCCCCTTTTAAAGGCAGCAAAGAAAACACCCTTGTGAGCAGATTTGTGCAGGACTTGCTGTTAAGGTTAACGTAGTCATCTGGGGTCACGTTTGTGTAACTAGAGGCTTTATCATGGTAATAGTTGGCCACAAAAGTCATAACTGTTAAACCGGCTCACTGACTTTGTTCTGTTAATCTCTAGGCCAGTAGTATCCCAGGGCCTGTCACCCAAACGTTTGCTGAGGAGTTTGATCCAGGTCCTCTCAGGAGCTGGAAGAGCAAGGGAAGAGAGCCTGGTGCCTGAGTCGATGACCGTGAAATATGTGTTGGGTGTGAATTCTGAAGCGTGGACCAGCAGAAATTGGTTCCCATTGAAGTGACACAATTTATACCATATGGCCATTGCTGCCCTCCCCCATCAATACCCCCTGCTTTTGTGTAAAACCTATGTGTGCAGGAATTAGTGGCATTTCTTACTTGCTTTGGCCTGACTGCAGAAAAATGGAAGTTTCGTATTCTGGAACAATTTTGTTGTGTGAGGTGCCAAGCAACTTGCTTGCTCCAAGTGTCAAGGCAGCTTGCAGCGGAGGTGGATGCTGGGTGTAGACTTCTGGATTGCTAGCTCCCATTTTGCCTTGTGGAAGCTGGGAGAATCTTGCCACTGTGCCTTTGTGTGTGTGTGATCAAACCCATAATGTGTACATAAAAACCAAGCCCTATTGTGGCTCAGTTGCCTCATGCTGTTCCTGTTTGTTTCTGAATTCATGTGCATTTGGAGGATGGCAATTAAAACTTGCTTTATAAGAGAAGGTTGCTTGCTTGCAACCCTCCTCCCTTTCTTCTTCTCTCCCTCTCTCTCCCCACTTTCTTCCAGATAGTACCACTTTGCAGTCCAGGCTGGCTTCCAAATCACTATTCAGCTCAGACTGGCCTTGAATTCATGATGATCCTCCTGCCTCATCCTCTGGTTGTGCCAGAAAGGAGAAAAAAAAAAACCAATTCTGATCCACATCGGACACGCTAGGGACCAGACTTCCTCCTACCTCACCCCCCCCCCCGCCCCTGGGGAGATCAGAGTCAAAGAAAATGAACTAGATTAATTTCCCTCTACATTTTTAGAATTTGAAATCTGTGTGTGAATTTCCTAGTCTTCCAATTTTTCTTAGTCTTTATGTTCATAAACAGCAAAATGATTTTTCAAAAAGCAAAACAACCAAAAGACCAAAACTGGCTGCGAAAGTAGCCTTCTTGGTTTCAAAAGGCCAGGTAGGTTCTACCCAGTCCTCCTGAGGGTAGTTGACAGATTTAATTTCTCCTTGTCCGTTTACCAATTTTCTATTCTGTGTGCACGGTTTTATTTTTATATCACCCACTATTACTTGGTACGCATAGGAAGAGCTAATAGAAGTGGCATCAGAACACTCCAGGAAATCAAACAGACTCACACACAAGGTAAAAACAAGTTCTGCTCAGTAGGAGTTCATTTTATTGCTAGAGTGGATTATTCTGCAGAGAACCTGCCTGTGTTTGTAAAAGCTCCCTGGCTTAGCAGTGCCGCACAGACGAGCGCCACCTACTGGAGCACCAGGAAACCACGGGGGGGGGGAGAGCGTGGACGGGGGGGGGGGGGGGGGGGGGGGGGGCAGGGGACGGCTGACCTGAGAGAGGAAGTGATGCCAGCGGGACCTCTGGCTGCAGTTAAATGATGCCGGGCCACGCGTACATGGGCAGGTGGGACTGGTTGTAATGAAGGTAATCCAGGATGCTCTTCTCCAGTAGGTTTTTGTAGATGGACTCCTCGAAAACCCTTTGGAGGTATTTCTGGGGCTTCTCATTCAGGTTTATTTCCTCATCCACTATCTTGTAGGCCAGCTGCTCCATGGAAGGCTTGTCGGCCTCCTGTGAAAGCAGTCAAGAGGCCAGAGTCAGAGCTTCCTGGGACTCAGCACCACCACAGCAGGGCTGGGTCGGCTCCCCAAGGATGGGAGCTTTTTAAAAATGATTCACAAAGGTGAAGAAACACAGGTAGCGCACACTGCTGTTCTTAGCATTTTCAGTGGGCAGTTCAGTACACTCACACCACCGGACAGCCACCACCGTCATCTGTCACTTACCTGCAGTGTTTGCTTCCTGGATGACAGAAACGCAGGGATGCGGGGTTCTGTCCCCCTGTCCACCCCAGTCCCTGGCTCCTTTCGAGGGCACCTCAGACAATGCCACCGCACACTTTATGTTTCTGTGGGAGGATTCTTTTTTATCATGTAACATGCTGTTACTAACAAGGATGATGGTCTTAAGCCCTTAGTTTTTCAGATAACAGTTAGCTGATTGCTTTAACATTTGGACACAACAACCCGAGATTTCTGGTGGTTTATTGCCTTGGGCCTTGCTAAGGGGTATTGTTTAAGACCTTCAGAATAATGTTCTCGGTAGAAATTTTAATTAGCCTCCTTAAACACATGACCCAGGAAGAGTTAAGTTCTGTTAGACTGTGCACAATCCATAAAAAGCAGAGGTTTTCGGACAGCTTGTAACATTTTGAGACACACACGTTGTGAGGCTGCACTGCACAGCGCACATTCTGCCCCTGCATGCCACTCCGATCCCTCAGGTGGCCCTTGTTACAGGACCCTGACCAGCTACAGCAGGGTTGTGACTAAGGATTTTGAGCTGTGTGATCCTGCCATCACGGTGACTACTGATCATCCTCTCAAACAAAAGCCACAGTGTATTTACACCAAATTCTAACAGGCCTGTGGATTTCAAATAGAAAAAGGAATAGGAGTTCATTGTGGCGTTCTACTGGACTGGCACAGACTGAAGACGCAAGCCGTCTGGAGGCACATGACCATCTGGCTGTTTAAGCAAAGTATGACCAGGTTTGAGAGATTATAAACATGGTGTTTAGAGCAGTCAGGATATGGCACAGAAATGGAGATTGAGAGCAGAATGGTGGGCTGGGGAAAGGCAACTGATGCCTGGAACCATCGGCCGGAGTGCGAAAACATTGACGTTCCGGCACAGTCCGTGGAGACAAGCTGCTGTCCACAGGAAGCTTGTTCTTTTTACAGTTTTTCTGGAGGATTCTATCTGGCAAACATGAAGCATTGAACTGATAGAAAGAGGGGCTTGTTACTGTACAAGGCTGTTCTGCAGTGGTTGGAGGTGTGTGTGTGTGTGTGTGTGTGTGTGTGTGTAAGATCACAGAACAATACTTGTGACTTCTTCCCTCACATTGTGCTTATCTGCCACCAGCTCACCTCCAAGTGCCCCTAGTGTGTCTGGCTTCTTTGACTTAACATAATGTCTTGGCTTTTTTTTATAGTCTTCTGAAATTTCCTTATGTTTAAATTTCAGTTTTAGCTCATAATAATTGTGTATATTTATGGGGTACCATGTAATGTTATGATGCATGGTGAGATGATTAAGGCCAACTAGCATATCCAATACTGCATATCCTCACCATCTCTGTGGTAAGGACGTTTCAAACCCACCCTTAGGATAAAACTGGAATAACTGCATTATCATTAGCATCAGTGACCAGGCTATACAATAGGTGACTAAAACTTTTTCTTGTCAAAACAACCTCTCCCCTTCCCCCATTCTCCCGGCCTGGTCAGCTCCCTGCAGCCACCATTCTTGGCTCTTCAGATTCTGTGAGATTATGCAGAGCCCGGCTTCTTTCACTTAGCAACAAGCTAACGCACATTGTTGCATGGACCGACTCATCTTAGGGCTGAACAGTGTTCTACTACGTATGCACACCATGTTTTCTTTATCCATTGACCCATGGATGCGCAACTAGGTTGTTCCTGTATCTTGGCTATTGCTGCTGCAGTGAACACTGGAGTGTAGACATGTCTTCCACACACCCATCTCTTAATGAACTCCTCTCGAGATATACCCGGAAGCAGATCTGTTGATCACATGGTGGCTTCATCTGTGACCTCTGTGCTACTTTCCAGGATGGCCTCACTTACGTTCCCACCATCAGTGTTCAACAGGTTTCTTTTGTCTGTGTCTTCTCCAGGCTTCTAACTCTTTTCCAGCAGGACTCTAACAGGGTCTGGAAGTGGCTTGCTGTGTTTTTAATTTTCAATCCTTAGAGGTGTTAACCATTTTTTTCATGTTTATCAGCTGACAATTTGTAGGTTTCCCTTTGACAAATGTCTTTCAGGTCATTTGCCTATTTTTTTTAATTAGTTATTTTATTTGTTTTGTTATCAAACTGATTTAAGTCCCATGTATACTGTGGATATTAGGCCCTTATCCAGTATGTGACTGCAAATGCTTCATCACAACCCATGGGTTGTATGGATTCTGTTCATCATCTCTCTGCTGTATTGGCAGCTTTTCAGTTGGACCTAGACCCACTTCTTCATTTCTGCTTTTCTTGCCTGTGCTTGGGTTATATCTAGAAAATTCTTGTCCAGACATCAAGGAGTCTTCCTCCTGTTTTCTTCTAGGAGTTCTCTTGTGTCTATTTTATAAGTGTTCAGATAAGAATATAATTTTTTTGTTGTTTTGTATGTGAATGTCTAATTTTCTCATTGTCCTTATTGAAGAGTCTGTCCTGTCCCCATTGTATGGCATCTTTGTTTAAAAAATCAATTGGCGAGGGGGATGGAAAGATGACTTAGTGGTTAAGAGTGCTAGCTACTTCTCCAGAGGACCAGAGTTTGATTCCCAGCACTCACACGAGGCTGTCATGTCTGTAATTTCAGGTCCAGGGGATCTGGTACCCTCTTCTGGCCCCTTTGGGACCTGTGCATGCAAGTGGTGCACAGATATACATGCAGGCAAAACACTCATATGGAAAATAAAAATTAAAAAACTAAAACAAAACACCTTAAAAATTAATTCATTAAATACATTGTATTCATGTTTTAAGTTATCAAAGGAAAGTTTTAAAAAGGAATTCTTCCAGTAGATTGAAAGCGTTAACTGCTACTTACTGACTTTGTTAACCAAGTGGCTTTTCCTTTCTTTTTTTCTCTCTGTTGGTGGAGGCGGTTCATTCCTGGCCATTCAGACCCAAAATAATTACACAGAAACTATATTATTTAAACCACTGCTTGGCCTATTAGCTCTAGCTTCTCATTGGGTAGCTCTTATATCTTAAATTAACCCATTTCCTTTATTTTATATTATACCACAAGGTTTGTGGTTTACTGACAAGGTTAAGGTGCATCTGCCTCCTGTGGTGGCTACATGGCGCCTCACTCACTCCACCTATTTTCTCCCAGCATTCAGTTTAGTTTTCCCTGCCTAGCTCTATTCTGTCCTATCACTGGCCAAATTAGTCTTTTTATTCATTAACCAATAAAAGCAACACAGAATATACAGAGGGACTTCCCACATCATTTCTCCTCTCTCTCTCTCTCTCTCTCTCTCTCTCTCTCTTTCTTTCTCTCTCTCTCCCTCTCTCCTCAATCTTTATTTGATCTAACAAGGGTGAGCTCCCAGCTTCCTGCTTTGGCCATCTGCTACCATTTTGAGCTCTCCTGGAACTTTATGCCAAGAAAGAAAAAAAGAGAGGAAGGAAGGAAGGAAGGAAGGAAGGGAGGGAGAGAGAGAGACAGAAAGACAGACAGGAAGGAAGGAAGGAAGGAAGGAAGGAGAAAGAAACGTCTTTCTTCCACAAGTTCCTTCCGGTCTTGGTATTTTCTTTCTCACAGCCACAGAAGCGTAACTAACACAGAAGCCACTTATTTTGTTTTCTTGTCTAGCTGCTCTGGCTGGAATATTTTGTACTATTATTGAATGGAATTGGCAAGAATGGGTGCTTTTTCCCTGTCCCTGATCTCTGAGTATGATGCTGTGAGCTTGTGTTTAGGACAGAAGGTCATGTCTCTGCTGAGAAGATCACAGGCTTTTGTCCTGGAAGATGACTTTGGGGCTCATTATTTTTTCTTGACTGAGTACTATTACATGTGTGAAGAGACCACATTGGTTTATCCATTGATATGCTGACGGACATGTGGGTGGTTTCCCCTGTCTAACTATTCTGAGTGCTTTGCGTATTTGTGTACAGGCATTCATTTGAATACCTTTCACGTCTTCAAAGAAATAAGATACCTAAAAATACAGTTGCTGGGTCAGAGGGCTATTCTCTGTAACTATTTTAGGAATCAAATTCCTTTTCATAGTGACTGCTTACCTTTGCATCCTCACTAGCAGCTGTGTGAGGATGCTATTTCCCCCACATTTACTGTCTTTTTTCAAAAAGATTCATTTTCCTGAGTATGAGTGTTTCACCCACATGTATACCATGTGTGCGTCTTATGCAGGTTGAGTCCAGAAGAAGGTGTCAGAACCCCTGGACCTGGAGTTACTGACAAGTAGGATCTGACATGGGGGTACTAAGACTTGAAGTAAGGTCTTCTGGAAGAGCAGGCAGTGCTCTTAACTGCTGGGTCTGGGTCATCTTTCTCTAGTTTTGTCCTTTAAATTTTTTTTTTTTAAATTACGGTCACTTCAGTGAATGTGTAGTTGTATGCCATTGTTGTTCTGATTTTTACTGCCCTAATGATTAATATCATTGAACATCTTCTCGTGTAAATGAGCATATGTGTAGACTCACACTTACTTGTTTGCATATTTGTTTGTTTATTTGTTTATTCTGGAAACTCACTGTGTAACTGAGACTGGTCTTGATCCTCCTGCCTCAGCCTCCCAAATCCTGAGGAATTCCAGGTGTGAGTTCTAATGCCTGGTTACATCCAGGACTTTAGTTTAGTTTTATTCTGTTACTCTATGTGGCTGTCGTTATTTAGTATCACACTGATTTGTTACTGTTGCTTTGAAGTAAGGGCTGAAGTCAGAAAGTGTGAAGCCTTCCACCTTCTTTGTTCTGCAGTCTCTGGAAGACAGTTTGGGCCATTAGAAATCTCTTGTAT